AATACAAACAAAAATTCTATCGTGACCAGCACTAGCGAATCCTGTCATGAGGCGCGTCCTCCCTTAGATAGTGGAATAAATTCCGAAAAAAAAAGAGACAAAAACACCTATTTAAAGAAAAGAGAAATATAGGAAAAATGCATTATCATTCACAAATATCCTAATGTAATAAAAAAGAAATATTATAATCGTGATCAGCACTAGCGAATTCTGCAAGGGGCGTACCCTTCCTTGCATGGTGGAATTTTTTTTTAGAAAACACCTGTTTAAAGAAATTATATAAAAGAAATATAGGAAAAATTCATCCTCTAAGACAAATTTTTTGTAATATAAGAAAAATTATTCTCGTGACCAGTACTAGCGGATTCAGCCGGGGACGCGCCTCTTTCCCCTGGATGGTTGGGGAAAAGTTCCAAAATTTAAAGAAAAGAGAAATATAGGACAATGTCATCCTCATAGAGAATTTCTAATGTAATAAAAAATAAAGTTATTATCGTGACCAGCCCTTATAATTTCTGCCAGGGGGCGCGCTCCCCTTTGTATGGTAGAAAAATAGCTCCAAAAAAAGTATTAAAAAAAAAACAAAAAAAAAAACTGCTATTTAAAGAAAAGAGAAATGGAGGAAAAATCATCTTCTAAGACGAATTTTCTAATGTGATCAACGTCATCATCCTGAGCTCGAAGATCCATTACTGGATCTTGGCTGCCTCAAAAGTTTCACGTTTCCCTTTCCTGAGCAGCCTCCACCAGTTCCTGATTCCATGGATTCTGCCATCAGCGCTTACTCCATTTTCTATCTCAGTTTCGGTCTGTCCTTTTTTCTTTTTAACCGGCTCCATGCTCAGCAGTTTCTTTGGGATTGAGGCCTCATCCATCCGTACAACTTGACCCTTCGATCTCAGCCGGATATATTTCACCACATTCGGCTCCTTGTATAAGTTAGCTAGGTTTCTTGGTTGCGTCTAATTCTCCATTCACCATTCTCCTTAATTGGGCCAAATATCCTCCGAAGGACCTTTCTTTCGAAAACTAATATTTTAAGCATCTGTTTAATGAAAAGAGAAATATAGAAAAAAATCATTCTCATAGACGAATTATCCAATGTAATATATTTAAAAAATATATCGTAACGAGCACCAGCGAATTCTGTAAGGGTGTGGCGCTCTCCCTAGATGTTTGGCAAAAAATTCCGAAAAAGTTTCAAAAAGCAGCTATTCAAAGAAAAGAGTGATGTAGTTTTTGGGCCGCCGCGAAATGCAAAGGCTTATGCTCCTGTCACTGTTTGTTCATATTGACTACGAACTGAAATACATCTCGCAGGTGAAACACATGATGGAGGAAAATTTATTTTAAAAAATATGAACTTCATTTATTCTTTCGAACAATTTTTTATTCAGTTCCAATATACCTGGATGCATTGCAACCTCAAGCACTATAATCTTCTTGAATAATCCATGTGATTCATAATACTGGTCACGATAATAATTTGTACATTTCTCATTAGAAAGTGTTGTTCTTTTCTCAAAATAGCTGCTCTTGTGAAAGTTTTAATTATTTGGGCTCCGATTTGATCGGAATCGGGTTATGATCGGAATCAGAAATTTTTCTGAGTTTTTGTTCTTAGAGAACTCATTTCCAAGCTGTTAGGACATTTATTGTAATCTTACTCAGATTTTGACAATGTCGGTAAAAATTAGCGTTCATTGACCGTGGTTATCGATCATATCCCTTAATCGAATTATTAAGTTTAGGTACTCGTTCAACTCACAATTTGACGTTCTTTAATTTCTCAAAGAATACTTTTTTCGCTTTGATGCACTGTTTAGTAGTAATATATGAAAAAAATATCAAATAAATCTGAATTTTTTGGCTGTAAAAAGTTTTCTTTTGGTGACCCGAGTCAGCAATTCAGTTTTTTTACATGTCTGAACCCATATCCAGGGTGTCTCGTAAGTATAGGGAAATATTTAAAGGAGTGATACCCGTGCTCAATAAATACGAAAAAGTTTATATAAACAATGGTTCAATTTTCAGCAGAAAAGTAGAGAGTTAAAGTTTTATGGTTTTTCATGTAAGCCACGTTTTTTGTTGAAAAGGAAGTGATAACAAAAAAAGATTTAATTTAAATAATTAACGATTTCTTCACTGTCAACTTGATAAAAGTTACTTTACATAAAAATAGAGTTTTCTTTTGTTAAAACTATTTAAAGAGGACTTTGAGCGGCTAAATTCAGCTAAGCAGTGGGGGGAAGATGGATAGTGGTGGGGGTACGGATAGTGGTGGGGGAAGTACCAGGTACAGGGGTGCGTTCCCTCCCCCTTGAGAAAATTCTTGGATTCGCCACTGTATGGGACTGCACCCCCATTTTGCACTACAACTGTTTATAATTGTATTTATTGTTCAAATGAATGTGTATGGCTCACTAAGTCTATCTGGAAACAAAGGATATTATATAAAATTTGAATCCTGGACCTGATGAATATCAACAACAATTATTTCGTGACGCTTCAACATTTATAACACTGCATCCGATCCAAACACAAATTATTATGTGATGTAATAATAATTTATTTTATAGAAAAGAATTGGGTTAATCACATAATTATATAATAACTTCCATAGAGACTAAGGCTTCTCTTATTATTATACAAAATCCTATTTAAATACTTAAATTAAAAAAATTAAATATTTCCTTTAAACCTGTAAAATCAACGCACCAGTTTAATAATGTATAGATGTTACTTATCAAGCAAGTGCAATTATAGCATAAATTAACAATAAAAATGTATTAAACAACAATTTAATAATAATAATAATAATAAGGCTTAGCGAACCCGAAGGTTCGATGCCGACACCACCAATCGCTTGTTACACACCTCCCTCCACAGTTCGCCGTCCAAACCCAGTCCCTTCAGATCGGCTTTAATGCAATCTTCCCACCTTCGCTTCGGTCTACCCCTCGGACGCTTACTATTCGGCACAGCAAATATTAACCTTATTAAACAACAATTTACAAGTAATAAATATAATATGTATGTATGCATATATATGATTAGTTAAACTGACTGCAACAATGTCATAACAAAATATCTGCCCTAAACTATTCTTTATTTTAATTAATCTATATTTTTACTTTCACTTACATATATATGTAATATATAGTAAGGGAAAGTATTGCGATCATAAAATTTTCGAATCTGAGTTTTCAACGGAAATACATGTTTTGAGATACCCTGAGTCCAAACTACCAAGTGCCGCAATATGGTCTGTGTGTGTATGTTAACAGCCTAGCTAAAAAAAAAAAAGTCGTACGAAACTAATATAGATCTGAGATAGGTACATGCCTTAGATGTGACAGCAACTTTTCCCTTAAAATCGGTTAACCGGATCTGCCACTTTATGTCATCGAACATTTTTACAATTTTCTGAAAACGGCTCTATCGATTTTGATTAAATTTAGTGTATCATTGTATAATTAAGTGGTCTTTAATGTCAATTAGGTCTTATCCCCATTGATGTCACTTTACTTAGGGCTTAAATGCCCAATGTTCAAATACGTCTTCCTCTAAAGTACCTTTAATATAGTTTATTTTAAATAATTAGCTATCTAACATTATTAAGAGTTAGAAAAAATGCTAAATATAACTTTTGAAAGAATTTGATAATTGAATAAAAGAGAAAAATACTTAGCCCGGTCGAAAATGAATCTCCGGAAATACTAGCCAGAAGTATAATATATCGTTGGAAAGCTGAGAATTTTAGAAAAAAAAAATATATATATCTAATATAGAAAGTTGTAGAAGGTAACGGAGAGTGGCGAAAAAATTATAAATAATGATATTTGAAAACTAATATTATTTAACGTAAATCACATGTTTTCAGGGAAATTAAATGAAATTTACTAACTAAAGGTAAACTTTTAAAATATTTTTAAGTTTGGAAAAAACATTTAAAATCCAGGAATTCAATGCAATGACATTTTTTAAGATGCCATTTCATTGTACTTGTATGAAAGAAGAAATGAAGTATACAAATATTTCATGGATATGTTTATAACCTTATATTAAATATATTTACTGTAGTTTAATAACACTATATCTGATATTATATTTAGATAATTAAGTGTCTATCGTCCGTTTACTCCGAAAAATCGTCATGTAACCTTTTAGAAAATTAAATTAGTAAATAATTTTATGAATATTCCCCTTTGTGATATTCTAACAGTATCCACTTAAATTAGTGTGACAACTTTTGACCTGCCTATGATGGACAATGCAAATCTCTTGATTCTATTTTTGTATTAATATTCAATAAAAAATAAAATAAAATTCCATTTTAGTAAACTTTGCTATGGAAAATAACAGTTTAATAAATAATCGTCGTACAATCCATAATCAATCGTTGATATAATAAATAGGACTTTTGTTATTTTACTAGTATTTATGATTTGTTAGCTGTAAGCTTTTAGATTTAGCTCGGTTAAAAATACAATTAAAAAATTTTATAATAGCCCAACATGGCCAGAAAATAATTTCTATTCAAAGTTGAGTGGTAACTGAAAGTTGTGTGTTGCACGCTCCAGATTTTTTTTTACATGTTACTCATATATCGAACCTGAATAATCGAATGCCCATTGAGCCTCGGGACAGGGGCAATTAGCCCCTTTCGCATCCATATTTTTAGTCCCCTTTCCAAAGTCCACTAGTTCGTCATTCCTCGCGGAGTCCTTACAAGACATTGTAATGAAGGATTTTTTAAATAACATTTTGATTACTTTCAAGCTACACAATCAATCTTTAAAGATAAGGAATGAGACTCATTGTATAGTCTTTAATATGAAAAAACATTTTTTTTTTCTTTCAAAGAAAAACTCTGTTTAATAATCATTTGAAATCACTTCTTGAACACCTGGGGTAGCCTTTGACTCGGAGGTATCATCAGTGAAGAATGCCATGAATAAATCGTTTAAAGATGGTATTAAATACTTAATAGCGCAGCCATGACTACACCGGTGGAGCAAGAACTAAACGCCCCTCATCAGGACATTGTTAATCTTTTCCAAAGCGACTTTTTACTGTGTCCCTTCCAGTAGCGGTCGTTAGTACTTAACCTAATTCCCTCATCGGGGGGTGCTAGCCTATCAAGAGCGACGAGCGTCATGGAGTGGGAGGGGCCTTGCAATAATTTCCTTTTACTGTATCAACAAAAATGGCCAAAGAAAAGGTCGATGCTATTCTATGTAACTGTATGAGCTCTGTTTGGAAGTTGTCTTTCAGTTTTACCTATATATTTTTCTTCATTAGCAACTCTTTTGGTAGGTGCTGTTTATGGTAGGCGTCAAATCGTATTAGAATGGTGTGGATGCATCCCATTTCTCCATTGTATTGCATGGGGTGCGGACGTTTATGATTCTGTAAGAGCGTAAAATAACTTAAAATTTCATATAGTTGTATTAACCTACGCACAAGAATAAATAAGTTCACTATTATTATAGCAGACACTTAGTGTTCATTTTTCTATGTTTAGCCGCGCTTACACATTATCCGAACCAGAACGAAGAAATAGTCCAAGATAGACAGAGATGGAGTAGGATTGTGAAGGCAGCAAAAGATCTACAAGGTCTGCAAAGCCTGCAGAAAAGAAAAAAAGTAGTGATCTTTACTGATACACTTGACTTAATTATTTATCATTGTCCTTTATAGAGTTTATTCCTAATTACTTTCATCTGTTTGCTCAGTTCAACACTGCCATATTTTTTATAGTAGATGAAATTAATAGCTTTTGTGCCAAGAAGCAAGTTTGCCTGCTGCATCTCAAAAACAAACAAATACCATACCAAATACGATGGATCGACAATGATATTTTCATGATATTGTTCTTTGGAATTTTCAAAAGGTAATACGTATTACTTATCACATAATTGTACAAAATGAAATTATTCGGTTAAGATCATGATATATGTTTTTTAAAAGTTTTCATTTGCATTTTCTGAGTCTACCATCTAAAGCTCGTCTCCACGTTGACAATTACCGTTATAGTTGGAGCTATGGTGGCGAATGTCACAGAAACTTGCAGCATGTAAACTATATGACAGTAGGACATTTACTATCATGTTAAGATTATCACATTTTGCTAGTCGGTGGCAGTACTTTTTGCGATAGTTTGTATTATTATAACGTAGACTAGCAAGTAGAAAATAGTTGCTACCATACAACTATCGCATCTTATCAAACTTAACGTACTAACTGTAGAAGTGATTATATGCGAAAATATTGTTGAGTTTCGATTATTTCTGCAGGTAAAGGCGGATTTTTACAAATATAATCTTCATTAGATAAGTTAATTAAATTAAGCTTCTAGGTTCATTTACTGTCATATATGGCATCAGCTGTTCTATATCCACCAATTTCACAACTGCTACCAAGTTTTCTACCATTGCGTAAGTAATACAATTGTCGCTGTCTTCCTTTCTTGTTGCTGTCTTTGTACTACAAACGATTTTATCTATTTTTCATTTTTCTTATTGTTAAAAAATAATAACAGCTAAAAAATAATAAGGAAGTGAAGAATACTTGGGGTGGTCAGTCAAAAAAGAATGCAAAAATAAATGATAATGTTTATTTTTGCCTTCTTTTTTGACTGACCACCCCAACTATTCTTCTCTTCATTATCCACGACAGTCAACCATTTACTAATTATGAATCTATAAAATAATAGAATGAGACAAATACCTCGTTTTAAGTTGCAAAAAATTCTCAATTATTTTTAAGTTATTGGTACAACATAATTTCATAGTTTTTTTTTTTTTTTTTAAGAACATGTAAAAGTAAAAATACTTTATTTCGCAGATTTTTTATTAAAATGGTTGTTTCATTTCTTCCAGAGAACAGTCGTATTCAGATCATCAGTTTATTTGTTACATTATATTATATTTATTTGTTGTAGTTCTATTTGTATAAATAAAATTTAACTCGACAGAATTACTAGTGGTGTAATATTAATTTATAGAAATATGCAATCAATATAAACACTTATTGCTATGAATATACTTTTAAAATTAGTATTTTTGATGGATAAACTCTCTTATAAAGTTGTTTAGGTTGAGGTGAAAGCTTGACTGAAAGGTCAAATCTGTCAAACTTGACATTTATCTGCAATAGCGCGCCTTGTTGGTTTAACAAAATATGACTGAACGCTGTGTATGAAGCACTTTTGTATTCATATTGCAAAGTTAAATTTTTAAAATCTGGGGTGGTGCGCGTATCACACAACTTTCACTTACCATCCTTATTTTAGAAGAAACAGGTATTTTCAGATAAACGGAAGAGAAAGTAAAAATCACAGACGGTACAAAATATTTTTTAAAACAATCAATTATCATATGTTTTTCACAGCCGTCTAATGTTTTATACATATTTTTGCTAATTTATGCCTTTGATTATTGCATATTTTAATTATTTATTTGATTATAATAAATAATCATGTTTGATTATAATAATAAGTGCCACAAAATATTTCTAGTTCGACATGAGTGCTCCTTACAATGAAGGCCACTAAATTTAAATACAATTATTGTAGGTATTTTTATCTATTAAATTACTAAAAAATATATATAAATTTTAATTTTTATATCCTGCAATCTATACAATTAAATATTAAATAATATCAACGCTAGCATTTATGAAAACCTCACATGCTTATGTATAGAAGCCTATTATAACCTTCGGCCAAGCTCGGTAAAGCTCGGCTGCGCGCTCGGGTTTCGTTGTCTCTCTATTAATAACGAATTATATTAGGTTACTTCTCCTTTAGATAATTATCGAATTCTTTAATGTTTCGTATTTAACCTTTTTTATATCACGTTCCAATGTTTTCACAATTAATTATTTCAAATAACAAAATTAAAGGTACTTTAAAGGAATAAATTTGAAAATTAGTTATTTAAGCCTGATAGAGAACATCGATGAAAATAAGACCTACATTATATTAAAAATCTTTTAATTTCACAATGGTGAAATGAATTAAATCAAAAACGTTAGAGCCGTTTTCAAGAAAATTGTAAAAATGTGTAGAATCGACGGTATAAAGTAACACTTCCGGTTAGCTGATGTTGACGAAAAAGTTGCTTTAACATCCCAGGCATACACAAATCTTAAGATTTTTCGTTTTTAAGCTAGACTGTTCATACACATATAAACACCATTTTGCGGGACTTGGTTATTTGGACTCCTGCAAAACATGTATTTCCGTTGAAACCTCTGATATGAAAATTTTCACGATCGTAATACTTTCCCGTAATATATATTACATATATAGGTAACTGAACACAGAGATTAAATCTCTTTTTTTTAATCATTTTATTCGTATAGACTGTAACTCTTATCGGAATGTACCAATTTCAATGAAACTTGGCTAACTCTTCTCCTTGATGACCATTAAATTTATCTATTCAACGTTCTTCAACGAAAGGAAGATGGAAAAAAATTAGGGGGATTGTAAAATTAGATTTCCGAATAACTCAAGAAGTATACACTTTTTTGTAATCAGATGTTTCAAAGGTATTTCAATTTCCCAAAAAACAAAATAAAGGTTCATTGAAATCAGAGCATTATAAGTAAAGATATCGCGGTTTTTAAATTTTTTTTGTTGAAGCATATAGTTAGTTAAAAGTTTACGAATTTTACTAAAAAACAAGGACACATTGTTGAAATTTGGTGCAAAGATATGGTGTTCTAAATATATTTTATACATTTTACTGCAAAGCTCTTATATCTTTTGTTTTGATTTTTGGAAAGTTTTCACCAACTGTAGCAATGTTGTCTGTTTTTTAAAGCAAATTATAATTGAAAAAAAAAAAAAGAAAATTATATAGGCCAATGTTAGAATTCTTTTTTATTTATTTTCCTTAATGATACATGGAAACTAATGTTAATTTTGATGTTACATTGTTTGGAAATAATAAACCATTGTGTAATAATTTGCAGTATTTTTTTCATTTGTCAAACTGTAAATTTGAAAAGAACTAAGATAGCTATGTGCTATAATGTGTTTGGGTCGCATTATACCCAAGATCATACTTATTGTTTACTTGGATCACTGGTGGATACACAGGATACAGGGTTGCAGATTTAAGACTTATTTAATAAGCTGCTATAAAGTTCATAGTAATTTTCTAATTATTATTCCTTTTAATTAATTTGATTATTCCTTGTTTACATATCAAATTAATTACATAATATTTTTCTAGGTCCACTGAAACGTCTGGCCTTGCTCCGGACGATGGAATCGTTGGAGGTCCTCGAACGCCTCAGCAAATCGCTGCTCAAAAAAGACTTCAACAGACCCAAGCACAAGTTGATGAGGTGTGATATAATTTAATTTACTATTTTAAAACATATATTATAATATTAGATAAAATGGAAGTAGTAAAACATAATTACTTCAATCTTAAATAATTATTACTTAGTTAATTATAAAAATCTTGATTTAGGGTCCTCTGAGGACCATAACTATTAACTATTTTTATCATCTACTATTTTTATTGAGAAATTCACTCTACCACACTTAAAGGCACCAAAGGGATCTGGCCTATAAGGTTTTATTGTTTAACTTTTAAATTCACATATGAATTTGAATCATGAATGAAGTATCGATAAAATAATAATAATAAGGCATAGCGAACCCATAAATTCGATAGTCCTCAAGATTCGTCCAAACCCAATCCTGCCAGTAGGCACACCGCATATTAAGTTTTGTTACTAAGCTCATCAATTTTACATACCTACTTTATTCGCCTCGGTGTAATCACCTCGATATATTAACCGAATACAGTTTGTGCGATTCGGCGTTGTGTAATCCTCCTTATTTTATTTATTTTTTTTGTTCTCCCCTACCTCGTCTTTTAGGCTATACAGTTTTTTTTTCGGGTCAGGGGGTGAGAGCAGATGGATTAATGCCAGAATTAAAAGTCCTCCCCTCTCTCACATGAATTAAAAGTCCTCCATCCCTCAGGCACCGGGACGCGAACTCGATATTATTTTATTGTCTCCAACCAAATTAAAATCATTATCCTTTTCCAACAGTGTTATTCTCTGGTTTCAGTCTTTTCTCTCTCAACGTTCACAAGCTATCACTATCCCTAATCAACCTTTGTCTTCCTATCTTAATCTATCCACGGGAGTGGCCCAAGGCTGTAGAATATCTCCTCTTCTTTTTAGTTCTTATATCAACGACCTCCATAAATCAATCCTCCACTGTTCCCATCACCTCTATGCCGATGATTCCCAAATTTACCTTTCCTTCGCTTCCTCTGAGTTGTTTGATGCGTTTGCAAAATCCAAGAAGATCTAAATCGCATCAGCCCTGGGCATACATAAATGGATTAAGATTAAACACTGATAAAAGATAGGCCATTGTCATTGCTTCCAAACCTCTCCTCAAATCCAATGCCAACATTCCTATTCTGTACCTAAATGACCATCTCATCACCTTCAGCTCTTCAGTTAAAAACCTAGGCATTTTCATTAACCAACACCTCTCTTGGAATCACCATATTGCCCACACATCTTGACGGTCAATTTGTACTCTCAAATTATTCCATCGCTTCCGCTATCTCCTACCTATACCGACACGTAGACTCCTAGATTCCTCCTTCATCTTTCCCCACATTTACTACGGCTGCATGGTGTACAGTGGCTTCTCGGTAGAACTCGGGGACAGACTAAAAAGAATTATGAATAGCTTAGTAAGATTTGTCGAAGGGACCCTGAGACGTTTCCGTATTTCCCACTACTATGCTTACCACTTAAGATAGCTGTTTTCCTCCTTCAGAAGGCAATACTTTCTTGGCACATTCCTTTACCAAATAATCAACTATCATCGCCCGTGCCATGTATACAATCTCCTCCAATTTAAATCATCTATCCACTCCCTCTCCACAAGATCTCATCCTTCTGACTTTTACATGTTGCTCATCTTCTGTCGTTAATACATCTTTAATCTATGTATATATTTTGTATGTTTTAACATAAAAAGTCAATATTTTTTATTTATTTATTTTTGATATTTTTCTTTTATCGAGGTTTTGCTTTTTCTTTCTATGAAATGAAATACATTTAAAATATATACAATCTTGTAGATAGAAAAAAAATGGATCAAAACAACAAACAATTTCTTTTTTTTTTTTTCATCACAGTGATACTGAATGTTTTCTAATTCATAAATAATGAAATGAAATGAAAAACATTTTATTATCCTAGGACTGTTGTCCCTTTAGAAGAAAGTATAAATCCTGAGAAAATACCTATGTGTCCAAACATTAAATTAAATATTTACAAAATAATATATAATTAAAATAAAAATATAATGGTGTATGAAAAAAAAAAAAAGAATCCTTGTTACATAACACATAATTAAACAGCTTCTGATTGAATTGTGAAGAGGAATTAAAATAAGAGGGTTTTGAATGTGGATAAGGATACTGCATGGTGGATTTTAAGTGGGATATAATTCCAATAGGTGATAGAGTGTACAATAAACGAATGTTGAAATGGAATACGTCTGGAATTGAAATGGAATAAGTCTAGAATTAAAATGGAATAAGTATGGAAGGATACCACATCTCGCAGACATGTGGTATACAAGATCTTCATGATCTGTAGTGTCAAAAGGAAAAAAAAAATTTATATATATATATATATATATATATATATATATATATATATATATATATATATATATATATATATATATATATATATTATTACTTTGGAAGAAGAAAGATTTTATATATATATATATTTATTATTACTTTGGAAGAAGAAACATTTTAACTACTTATATGAAATGGTGTTTAAGTGGTTCTTGAAATCTTATTAAATATAATTACAGGAACAATAATATTTTGGGAGATAATTTTTTCAGAAAAATGTTTATATTTTACAATTTGGGGGCTTCAGCCTGAAAACAATCCCTCATTCGAAGTCTGCGTCTATGCTTGCTACTGATGTCCAAAGTTGTTTCTCCTATTCAGGTCCAACAGGTCAAAATGAAATAGCAACAATTATGTTGCTATCATGAATCTCCATATTTTCATATTAACATGTTTTTTTATTTATTTCTCAATTAACTTATATTAGCTAGGGTTCTTCTATTTCTGTGAAGACCATGGCCATTTTTGGTAATTAATTAACTCTTCCCATTCTGCAGACTATTTCTTTCTATTTTCCCACTAGATTTTAACTATTTGGTTAAAAAAAAAAAAAATCAGTTTTGTTTTTTTCTCAAAAAGTTAACTTATATGCAAAAATATAATCAGCTACTCATATTTTTAGTCAATATTGACTATGACTAAGAATTATTTACTTACAAACATCACCAATTTATTAAGAAAATTTTCAAATGTTAATTGGATAGTAAATCGTTTGTTTATGATTTTAGGTTGTGGATATAATGAAAACAAATGTTGAAAAAGTACTCGAAAGGGATCAAAAACTTTCAGAACTGGATGACAGAGCAGGTAAGACTTTAAAAATATTAAAATTATTAGTTTTTTATTTTGATCTTAAAGTAATATTAATTATTACTCTCTCTTCATTAATTATTTCTTCTAACTTGTTCTTCGTTGTTCTAGTTTAACAAAATAAACATTATTAATTTAAAGTGTTTTCTTTATTTGGACGTTTCAGAGATACTCCGTCGTCACCCTCTTCAGCATCTATAATTATATCAACAATAGGTTATAGGTTCTATACTGAACCAATCATTTAAAATTAATAAACTTTTTTTTATTTTAATTTAAATGGGTTCCTATTTAAAACCATTTTTTGACATGCAATAAATAAATTTACATACTTAATTTACTTATGTGGAATCAAATTATAGAAAACATATTTATTGCTTACTCTTCCCAACCCTAAATGTACTTTGATCTTTTCAGTAGAAATAATGTTTGATCATTGACCAATCTTGTTAGAGGACTTGTCCACTAGTGAGGTAAATTTCATAAGCTAATTTATTTGTATAAAAAAAAATTAAATGACTGGTTCAATATAGATTCTATAATATAGCATTTATGTTGTTCTGGAGTTCAGAGTCTCTAAAGAGGAGAACAGAGTATCCCTGAAACGTCAAAATAAAGAAGTCATTATAAATAAAGAGTATTTATATTAATAAACTAGAGCTATGAGCAACAAGTGAGAAAAATAATAAAACATATTAAATTATTACTGCTATAAATAATTATTTTATTTTACTTTATTTTTACTTCATATATTTTTTTACTATCTCAACTATAAATAATTTTATGAATGGACCATTTTTAAATTTCAAATCCATAGTATAATGACAACACAAACAGAATAGTAATATTAAATTAATGACGGTTTCAGATGCCTTACAACAGGGAGCCTCTCAATTTGAACAACAAGCTGGCAAACTGAAAAGGAAATTTTGGCTTCAAAATTTAAAGGTAATACTTTTCCATAATATTTTACATTTTAGAAATGGAGAGTGACAAACAATTTAAGAATAATAATTTCTATAAATTAATATTACTTTATTTAAACCATATTTCATTGGAAAAATTTACAATTATTTTTAAGCTTCAAAACTAAAAATATAGAATACATTGTATAGTCGTTCTGGAATTTTTTAAAGCTATTTTATTGTACTTTTTTGAGAGAAGTGCATGCCACTCAACATATTTCAAGCTATGTTTATGGATTCATAAAACATATAGTAATAACCTTAAATCACTTTAGCCAAAATACTAGATTTAAATGCTTTAAATATTAACTAGCTTTATTGGAGCAGAAATTTGATTATTTAAGTAGGCTGGTAAATGAAAGATTTTTCCAGAAGTTTCCATTCAACCAATTATACTTTCCATTCACCCATAGATTGGATTCATTGAAATGTTAATTTATATGCATCCTACATAGATTTCTTTGACAATTCATGGCCTTGATTTGAGAATATTCTAATTGAAAAATTTAGGAAAATTGAGTTACTGAGTTATAAGAGTCCCATGTCCGCTAATCAGCTCTCGGGATGGCCAACGATAGTCGATATTATCGAAATATCGATATTTTTCTCAACTACATTCTATATAAAACAGGCAAAATGAGTATACTATTTTTTTCTATGAGTTTTTATGAGTATATTCATATATAATTCCCAGTGCTTTCCAAAAACGAAAGTTGTAATTTTATTTTTAAATTAAAATATCAAAGAGACGATATAGATAGTCGATAATATTGACTATCGATGGTCAAAATGTTTTAAAAAATTATTTTAAAAATAATATTAAAAATATAATATAATATATTTATTAATATTTAATATATTAATATAAGTCTAATATTAAATA